GGGGGGGAAGGGTGGGACAGGGATGGAGAGGGGTGGGATGGGGTGGGACAGGGGTGGGGTGGGACAGGGATGGGGGGGGAAAGGGGGGATAGGGATGGGGGGGACAGGGATGGGGGGGACAGGGGTGGAGTGGGGTGTGTGGGACAGGGATGGGGTAGAACAGGGGTGGGGTGGAGTGGGATGGGGTGGAGCGGGATAGAGTGGGACAGGGATGGGTGGGACAGGGGTGGGATGGGGTGGAGTGGGATGGGGTGGGACAGGGACGGGTGGGACACGGATGGGGCGGGACAGGGGTGGGGTGGGATGAGGTGGGACAGGGATGGGATAGGATGGATGGGACAGGGATGGGATGGGATGGGGTGAGGTGGGACAGGGATGGGGTAGGATGGATGGGACAGGGATGGGATGGGATGGAACAGGGATGGGTTAGGATGGGTGGGACAGGGATCGGGTGGGGTGGGATGGGACAGGGATGGGGTGGATCAGGGATGGGGTAGGATGGGATGGCATGAGATGGGGTCCTGTGTCAACTCCCTCCCCCAGCTCCCTCTCCCCCCTTTCCATCCCCCCTCACTCGCTTCTCCCTCCCCACTGAGGGCTGGGTTGCCACAAGGTGTTCCCACAGCCCAGGCCCTCAGTGAGATGCCAGTCCAGCCAGGCTGAGCTCCAGAACATTCCCAGCCCTCACCATGGTGCGGGAATGCTTCCACTTGGTCAGTTTGTTCAGGATGCGCAGGAGGTTGATGCAGGAGAAGAGGTTCCTCCAGCAGAACTGGTTGTTGTCTCCGGCCTCCTGCAGGGAGGACGGGCAGGGTCAGGCAAGGGAAGGGAGCAGGGATGGGGAGAGGCTGGCCTGGGCTTGTCCAAAGAGTATGCAGGCATGGAATCACCCAGTCATGGAATTGGTAAGGTTGGAAAAGCCCTCCCAGACCGCCAAGCCCAACCATCCCCCAGCACTGCCAAGGCCACCACTGACCACGTCCCCAAGTGCCACATCCACAGGTTTTTTGGACACCTCCAGGAACGGGGACTCCACCACCTCCCTGGGCAGCCCCTTCCAAGGCCTGATCACCCTTGTTCCCTGGGAGCAGAGCCTGATCCCCGCCTCCCCAGCTCCCCCCTCCTGTCAGGGACTTGCAGAGCCAGAAGGTCCCCCCTGAGCCTCCTTTTCTCCAGGATGAGCCCCCCCAGCTCCCTCAGTTCTCCTGCTGCTCCAGACCCTTCCCCAGCTCTGTTCCATTCCCTGGACATGCTGCAGCCCCTCAATATCCTTCTTGTCCTGAGGGGCCCAGAAGTGACCCCAGCAGAGACCTGCTGTACTCCCCAGAAGCCCCAGGAGCATGGGAGAGGGTGCCAGGGCTGGATGGGGGAGCACCCCAGGACTGGCACAGCCGGACTCACCAGGCTCTCGGCCGTCAGCTCCGGCAGCTCGTGCACCACACAGTAGGGGTAGTCCAGCACAGAGATGCTGCAGGAAGGAGAGGGGGGTCGTGCTGATCCCCCACAGTCCCCACTGATCCCTCCCACACCCCCCTGGCCTGGGGGGCAATGCAGACCCCACCTCCCACCCACTGGAGACTGTCCGTGGTGGGCACTTCCCACCGCGCCTGTGCCCAGGGAGGGGCTCCAGAGGGGAGAGGAAGCAGGGCCCCCTCCCCACAGCCCACAGGGATGCAGGGGAGCAGCTCCCCCCCACCTGTTCTTGGCAGTGATGTAGGACATGATGTTCTGGTTGAAGAACTTAAGGATGAGCGGGATGCAGTTGGCAAAGACCAGGTGCTGGGCCATGTACTCGAACTGGGGAGGGGAAAAGCAGGTGAATGGGGACCAGGGGGGTCCTGCCCGTGCCCAAATCCCCCCCAGGGGGTGGGAGGACCCCAGACCACCTCACCTGGTAGATGTGGTTGAGTTTGAAGTGCTTGAGCAGGAGCAGCAGCACGGCAGAGATGGCCTTGACGATGATCTCCTTGTGCCGGTTGACGTCCACGCCCAGCTTCATGCTCTGCAGCACCGTGGTCCTGGGGACACAGGGGGGGGCACTGCCAGGAACTGCTTCTTGGGAGGGGGGAGGGGCTGGGAGGGAATTCCCAGAGAAGCTGTGGCTGCCCCGTCCCTGGAAGTGTCCAAGGCCAGGCTGGATGGGGCTTGGAGCAACCTGGGATAGTGGAAGGTGGCCCTGCTTGTGGGGTGGAATGGGCTTTAAGGTCCCTTCCCACCCAAACCATTCCAAGATTCCATGCTCCTGCAGCAGGGCAGGGTCATATCACCCAGGGAGTTCCAAACCAAATCCTTCCTGGTTCCTCCTGTCCCCCCCTCCCTTCCCTTCCCACCCCATCCCAGCCCTCTGCTCCGGGGCACTCACGGCATCTCCTCCGGCAGCACGTCTGCCAGGATGTTGATGGAGTCTGTCTTGGCTTTGGAGGTGGGGGCTGCAGCCAGGAGGATCTTCAGGAGAGCAATCTGGGGAGCAGGGAGAGATGGAGAGGGGATGGGAGCAGGGGGATATAAGCCTGGGAGGCACCACTGGAAAGGGACGGGGCACTGATCCCAGAGGATCCCAGTACTCCCAGCTCACCATGTACTGGGGCAGGCTGGGCAGCAGGCCCTGGTACAGGATCTCAGCAGGGACTTGCTCCACTTCCTCTTCCCCCTGGGGCCAGAAGAGACCAGAAAACCTCATCCCAGGAGTCTCCACCAGTCCCCTGACCCTGGGATATGATCCCAAGGGCTGGTAACCCTCAGCCCAGAGAAACCCCTCCCCAGCAGAGCAGACATCCCATCCCATCCCATCCCACACTCACTCCAGACAGTGGGGAGCGCAGGAATTCATCTTCCATGTGCACCTGGACCTCGGCAATGGATGTGTACTTGTGCTGCAGGGGGACAGGGGGGTCAGCACGGCCCCCCCAGCTCCCACCATCCCATAATACCCCTCCTGGATCCCTGTCCCAAGGGTGGCCCACGTTCATGGGCAGGGTGGGAGCGGCTGGACAATCCCAGGAGCAAAGGAAGACAAGAAGGGATAAAGCCCCTAAGAAAGGGATAAACCTCCCTAAGAAAGGGATAAAGCCCCCTAAGGAAGGGATGAAGCCCCCCAAGGAAGGGATGAAGCTCCTATGGAAGTGAAGAAGCCCCCTAAGGAAGGGATGAAGCCCTGCTGGAAGGGAAGAAGAAAGGGATGCAGCCCCCTAAGGAAGGGGCTCGGACAGCCTGGGAGAGCAGGGGTGGGATGAGAACTTCAGGCTGCTCCCACCACAGGGCTGAGGAAGGGGGAGATGGCTCAGGAAAACCCTCTCCTGAGCTGTGCTGGGAGCAGGGGCTGGGGAAGGGACTGTGGGAATTCCTGGATGGACTCACCAGCTTCAGGGTGCGGATGCTCTCGTGGATGGGCCGGGGCAGACCCACCACCGTGTTGGTGTCACTGCGGGAGGGACAGAGCCAGGCTGGGGGCAGAGCTGGGCACCCAGGGGAGGGGAAGGGACCCCGAGGGGCAGGGACCCCCAGGGGTGGGACAGGAGCCCCCCAGGAGTGGGGAAGGGACCCCCAGGGGCAGAACAGGGACCCCCAGGGGTGGGACAGGGACCCCTCAAGAGTGGGGCAGGGACCCCCCAGGGGTGGGACAAGGACCCCCAGGGGTGGGACAGGGACCCCTCAAGAGTGGGGAAGGGACCCCCAGGGGTGGGACAGGGACCCCCAGGGGTGGGACAGGGACCCCCCAGGGGTGGGACAGGAACCATGAGCCAGCGACCCCAGGACTTTTCTGCTGCTACACGGAGGCAAGAGCAGCCCCAGAACGGACCTCTCCCCCAGCCCCCCCAAACTGGCCTCTCCCCAAGCCCCTCAAACTGCCCCCCCGGCTGGCCCTGGCCCCACCTGCCCAAGGTGTATCCGATGAATTTGCTCCTGCTGGACTCCAGGAACATCTCAATGTCCTTCTCCCTGCAGCCAAAGGGGAAGGGAAGAGTCACATCTTCCCGTCCCCCTTGGAATGTCACAGCTCCAGCCCCAGGGAAAAGCCTGACAAGGGGATGATGCCCAGCCCACCCCCCAAAAAACAGCCACCCAAGTGACCACCCCACCCCCAACCCCTTCCTCCATCCCTGCTGAGATTCCCAACATTCAGCCTCTTTTCCCGACCCCGTTCCAGCCCTGCCCGGCTCCCCCCGGACTCACCGGACCTTGGGGGCCCAGGGCAGCCCCTTGGGGCAGGTGATGCGCTCGCTGGGGGGGTGCTGGGTGGGGGGGGGCATCACTTCATCCCGCTCCAGGGGGAAGGTCTCCCCCTCCAGGCTGTTGTCGTCGTCGTTCTCCTCCTCCTCCTCCCGGGAGTCGTCGGCTTTGTAGGGATCGCGCTCGTTGAAGGCGTCCAGGTTGTCCTGCTTGATGAGGGCCTGCGGGGGGGGCAGAGCATCCAGGGAATGTGCCTGCTCCAAGGGCAGTGCCCAGCCCCTGGAAGAGACCTCGGTCATGTCACCATTCCCTCGATGATGTCACCATCCCCTCAGTGATGTCACCATGCCCTTGATGATGTCACCATCCCCTCAGTGATGTCACCATCCCCTCAATGTCACTGTGCTCTCACTGATGTCACCATCCCCTTGATGATGTCAGCATGCCCTTATTGATGTCACCATCCCCTCGATGATGTCACCATCCCCTCAGTGATGTCACCGTCCCCTTGATGATGTCACCATGCCCTCAATGATGTCACCATCCCCTCAGTGATGTCACCATGC